TATAATCTAAACTATTAAGTAGCAAAATTATTTTTGTGAGAATTAAACTAAATAAAATAAGTAAACTAAAGCAAATTGAATAAAGGAGGAAATCAATAAATCAAAGCCTAGGGTATAGGTTCACCAAAAAATAATATTCCAGGATAAAACACAACAATCAATTATCAATGCATCAATTAATCAGATCATATAGGGCTTTCTCTACGTATTACAATCACATAATTAATCTACCGGTATTAAATCGCATCTCTTGAATCTTGACTTAACCATTTATAAACTAACCTGCCTATTGAAACTAAGCCTAAACATCAATTCTCATCTCTTGAATCTCGAATCAATATTGCATAACTCATAAAATTAAACCTGCACAAATCTAATTGCATAGCATTAAATCAATCAGTTGAAATCAATCAAGCATTGACAATCAACAATAATAAATTACCCCTTCATATTATTAATGGATCCCCACAACCCTAGAAATAAAACTACTCACACATATTTAAATATAATCTAAGCAAAGCAAATAAACAAGACATAATTAATCAAAGCAATTAATTACTGAAAATAAAAGGGAAGAAATCGTTACCAAAATGAACGGAAATACTGAATTGCACAAATTAAAAGTGTAGAGAGAGAAAGAACAAGAGTATAAATCAAAAGGTTAAAACTAAAATCTGGAAATTAAGTAATGAAAGACGTCCCAAAACTCGCTTAACAAAAGCATACTTATACTTAGGCTAGAAAATCCTAATTAAAACAAAATAAAAGTCGCTAAACAATCTTTAGAAACACGCGCTCGGTCGGGCGCCATCTCGCCCGACCGGGCCCGCCTTTGGGCGAAGAGCTACTTTTTTCCATCTGCCTCGCCCGCCAGGCGTGCCTCAAGGGGAGGACCTTCCCGGTCGGGCGAGCACTCGAGCTTATGTGGACTTCTTCGATTGTGCTATTTCTTAGCCTAATTCGCATTTCCTCTTTGGGTCTTAAGACTCGATCCATTGCCTCGGTCTCTTCTTGTTCGCCAAGCCCTTAATCACCGGTTTGATTGTTCCAACGCGGCCTTGGGCTTTGGAATGTGTTCATATGAATGTGATCCTACTCCAGTGCTCGTAGTGGGGCTCAAATAAGTCCGGGAAAATGTTCCAAATCTGGAATATCCTATAAAACAATATCAAATCTACGAAAACACTAGAAAACACATATTAACAATAAGAGTAGCTCCAAAGAGCCAAGAATACTCCTAAATATTACCAAAGGATGGGGGTACAACACTATATAAAATGAACATATCAACACTGTTGAATACTCAAATCTTGTAAATAAACTTCGGAAAGAGGATGAAAATTTAAAGAATTTGCTTTCAAAAGTTCAAGATCATTGTAATGAAACTACTACTAATGGAGGGGTAATCTTGGAGTATTGTGAGAATGTGAGTGAATGGTTAGAAAAAGCCCTTAAGTGCACTTAAAATTTGGGTTCATGAAAATCATTCAAGTGATTCAAATAGCTATTATGCATGATAGCTATTTCTGATATTTTGGTGACCCGGGGCAAAATGATAATATTTTTGTTGAATAAATCATTTATTTTTATAATTATAAATATTTATGTATTTTGTAAATTAATAATATTTAGACTTTTTCACTATTCACACACCTCCTTCGAATTTCTTTTGTGATTTATCCGTTAAGAAGGAAATATAATTAAATATCATATTTTTATAATATGAAAACACGACAATAAATTGTTGCACATAAATTAATACATTTTATACGCAAAAGACACTTACATTACTTTTGCGAATTTCGAGCTCAATTAGGACTCTTAAGAACTAAAATGACCCCTAAACCTTGACGGAACATTTTTTGACACGCAAATCAATGAAAAAAATGAATTGAGCGGCAACTTACAATTTATTTGTACTTTTGGGCGGCAATTTGCAATTTTTTTTAAATAGTCGCAATTTGCAAAATACAAACTTGATTGGCTGCAATTGGCAAATTTTCCCAAAAGTTTTAATAAAAAATCTAAACATTACGTGTTAGTAGAATTTTGACGTGGCAATGAAGGAAGTCTTACAAAATGATGCTAAACTACTCTTGAATTCCATATTTAACCATTCTTATATGCTAGTATTAATTTGTAAAGATATAGAGGTGTTAGTTTATAAATATGTTTTGGGTATTGTGATACTACCTACTTCAATATTAAAGATCAAATTGATCTCGTATTTTACTTTGTAAAGACATACTTAGGGTGTAGACACCTACTTTTGGCCTCCTGTCCTGATGGGAAGTGCAATGATGTTACAAAAACTCGTTCTTCATGCTAGATCAAAGTTGAACTGTTTAGGGACTCCGAAATGCATTATGAAGTAAGTTAAAACCCGTATTTGAGACCAAATTATCTTAGAGCCTAATCCGATTACTAATTAGGCCTAAAACGTGTTTGTACATGTTTAATATTGATTAATAACAGACCTAAATGTGTCAAATGCAATGACTAGATCAAATGGATCTTACATTGTTGAAAACCAAGCCAACCAGAACATTTAAACACCCAATATCCTTTCAAGACCTATATAGATGGATATCCCTTTCAAATAGCTTTCCAACGGTATATTATAACCCCAATCCAAGTTTAAACGAATAAGTTATCATCAAAATACTAAACCAGACCCTAAAATTGACACCCTTGCACTCAAACGACCATATTTTTTTAGTGTTTTCCAATGATATCTTATTTGGCTTAATCCGACTTTACAATCAAAAGTTATGGAAGATTTAAAAACGCATTTTCATATAAGGCAATCGCACCACGCGCAACTCTCAAAGTTTCGTGCACCTGCCGCGCGCGAGTCTTAGAGTTGCGCACGACACTCCAGCGCGACTCTGAGTGTTGCACGCGCCACCTAACGCTGCGGCTCTAAAACCCTAAACCTAGATTCCTACTCCTATAAATAGGGGTCTTCGCTTAGACCTAAATACAATAGAAAATTCAGAAATTGAAACCCTAAATTCTGAAATCCCCAATCTCCCAAACCCTCTTACTATCACAGTACTTTTCCCCTCTCTTCCCAAATACTCTCTAACCCTAATTGATTCCATTGAAGCCTGCTGGGAGGTACAAACAAGAAGGAAGGTCCAAAAACATCCGAAACAAAGATCTATCAAACAAAGGAGAATAGTTAGTTTCCTGAGCACTTAGATAAATCACTTTTCTTTTCTTGTTTAAATAACTTCAATTAATTAATAGTGTTGATTGACCACTTTAAATAAAACTTTAATTAATTAATTTCACATAGTATTCTTGCGTTAATTAAAGACTAGAATAGGAATAATTAATTGTTGTTATATCACTTAAGTCAAGGCGAATATTGTTTATTTCTTGCTCTTTTCACGAATTTGAATAACAAAGAATAACGACATTCGTTGCAATGTAATCTTTATGTGATCAATGCTTGTAAATAAAATCAAACTAACTTAGTTTAGGTAACACATTGCATATATTGTTTGGTGATGAAATTGTGAAAAAGGAAGACCTAGTAGTGGCTACACTTGGGCTAGGATAACGATTCCCCCCTAAAGGGAACGTTATTTTAGTACCCTCGCTCCCGAACTCATTTCTGGTACAAGTAGACCAATTTGGGCATGGGTAAACTTATGATTCATGCTAAATATCCCTTGAACTCTACTTGGGAGAAAGGCATGAACGAGGTTTATGAGTTTTCCTAAAACTCATTGGCGACTCCTTATTAGTTCCTTACAAAAAAGCGTAATGATAGAATCAATTCTAATTCAAGGTACCCTAAACAGTCAGGATTTCAAATCCTAACACACCTTCAAAAGTGTAAAGTCCTAGGCTTTTAAAGGGCCATGGGCATAGAGGAATAGGGATCCCCAACGACAGGCTACCCTCCTCACATAGGGGTTGTTCTATTTACCTGATTTTAACTTATCGGATCTTATCTGAACTTACCTAAACTTACCTGAACTTATTAAAACTTATTATAGCTGTAATTTGAACTTGGACAACTCTTATTAGAACTTATTTTTCCTGAATTGAACTTATCTGAATGTATCTGAACTTCTCTGGACTTATAACACCTGATATAAGTGAAAATAAGGTGAAAAGAACAGACCCTTAGGCCCTTAGATTCAATTTGGTTTATGTACATAGTGAATTATTTCATTGATGTCTCTCCTATTTTTCCCTTCATGTTCTACACAATAGCCGTCGAAATTGCATAATATACTGATTATGAAAGAATGATTTAAGTATCAAGTAACTAGGAAAATTAATTGTATTACAAATGTATTTTAGCTTTTTCGATCAATGGAAATGAGCGTGCTGTAGTAAATTAAATCTCTAACAAAAGTAATAATTTCCTTTCTAATGACATTAGGGTTTTTTTTTTATTTTCTTTTTTTTAAAGGTTGTTTTGGTAAAAAAAAAAAAAATCGACTTTTAAGTTTATTTAGAGATCCCGAAATGGATTCATTAATTTATATGAAATACGAAGTAAATGAAACTAGGGATGGCAATGTGTAGGGTTTCGTAATACCCGGACCTGTATTTGACATTTTTAATCGACACTTATACCCTACTCGGATCCGTAGGGTCTAAAATTTTAAGACCCTTACCTGGACTCTGCGGGTCTAGCAGGGTTTGGGTCCTAAGTCCAATTTGAGTCTTTTGTCAATTTTTTTCCAAAATTTAGTTCTTTTTTTTTTGGGTAAGTAAGTATTATATTACCAAAGGAGGGCAAGCCCTCTAGCCCAAACTACAACAGCCTACAAAAAAGCCACACTCCTCCAAACCAAAGCGAAAAATACAAGCTAAGAAAGCAAAACAAGCAAACTGCCTACATAGGAATACAAGCTCTCAAACTATATAACCATTTACAATGCTTCCTATTCCACTTCCTACTAATGAGCTGTTGAATCCTGTCAACAACCTCCCTGCACACTATATTGCTTAATCTGTCAGGGTGGATAATGGCTTTATCCCAAAGATCCTTTTCCTAGCCCACCAAATGTTGTAAGTAAAGCCGTAAGAGCAACCAGGCCTACTTTCCTTCTAACTTTCTCTTTCAAGCTTTTGCTCCAGTGTTTCCAAGAGCTATCAATCTGGAAATGTTGTTCTGTGATGTTTAACCAAGCACTGACTTTCGAAATACAACATCTGCTAAAAAAACGGTCAAAGAACAAGTGATCTCTGGTATCAGGTTTCTCACCACACATAAGACACTTATCATCAAAGCACACCCCAAACTTGACCAGTTTGTCTCTTGTTTTAAGTTTGCCCTGAACAACTAGCCAAGCCACAAAGGAATGTTTAGGAATATTGTATTATTCCAGACCCCAGCCAGCCACTGAACCTCCTCAATCTCTCCTTGCAGCCACTTATACACATTACCAATACTATATCTGCTAGTATGCCATCTGGTATCACAGAACCCGGATTTAAGCTCATCTTTGATGTTACAGATTTTCTTCCAACCTATACCATCATACTTTTTGGGCTTATAAGCCCACCACTCCTTACCCTTCAAGTATACACTGTGAACCCACCTTACCCATAAGGAATCTTCCTTAGCAGCCACTTTCCACACATATTTCCCAAGAGCAGCCTTGTTCCACCTCTCACAGTCCCTAATTCCCATCCCACCTCCCTTCTTTGGCCTGCACACCTAGCTCCAGGACATAGGAGGGCTCTTGGAGAGAACAACATTCCCTTCCCATAGAAAATCTCTACAGAGTTGGTTGATCCTAAGAATCACAACTTTAGGCAGAAGCAAACATTGAGCCCAGTAAGTATGAAAACTCATAAGCACTGAGTTAATGAGCACAACTCTGGCAGAATAAGAGAGATTTCTGCTAGACCAACTATGAATACTAGCCATCATCTTATCCACCAGTCTATCATAGTCTACAATCTTAAGGTATTTGGCCTTCATCCTTAAGCAAAGCCACACAGCCTTAAAATATCAGCTTGAGTTTGAGACTCTACATTACCAAAGTACACTGCTGTCTTCTCTTTACTAGCCTGGAGACCAGAGATCTTTTCAAACATTCTCAAAGCTCTAATTAGGTACCCCACAGAAGAGTATTTCCATAAGCAAAAAGCATAAGGTCATCAGCAAAAGCAAGATGGTTCAGCTTTAAGTCCTTGCATCTAGAGTGAAATTTAAATTTCTTCAACCCACCAATCTTCTTCAACAGTCTGGCCAAGTACTCCATTACAATAACAAACAGTAGGGGGGACATGGGGTCTCCCTGTCTAACCCCCCTTTGACCCTTGAAGAAACCATACATGCCACCATTCAGCAGGAGAGGATAAGAAGGGGAGGAAACACATTCCATTATCCAAGTAATAAACTGGTTAGGGAAACTAAGAGCCTGTAACATATCCTGTATAAAACTCCAGTGCACTGTATCATAGGCCTTCATCAGGTCAACTTTGATTGTGCAACAAGGAGCAATTTTAGGTCTTTTATTTTTGTGTGTGTGTGTGTGTGGTATCATAAAACAATATATAATAATAATAATAATAATAATAATAATAATAATAATAGATTGATAGATAAATTATTGTAATCCATAATTATAATTTAAATCTTGTAAAATTAAGTGGACAACTACAAAATTAATAGCTACCATTGTGTAGTTGTCTTTCATATAACTCGATTTCATCATAATCTTACAAAATCAAGATTCTTAAGTTTTTTCTAATTTCATTTTAATTTTTTTTAAGTGAATGTATTGTGCAAGCCTATGTATGGGTCTAGGTAGGGTCTGCGTCTAAAAACATTATACTTGAATCTTTACCCTACCCGATGCCACCTAGACCCATACTCTATCCGTACCTATAGGGTCTAAATAAATAAAACTCATATTCGTAATTTAGGGTAGGATTCTGGAATTTGTTGTATACATCAGGGGCGGAACCAGAAATTGTTTATTAAGGGGGCTAACTTATAATATATAATATCATTAAAAAAAATCTACATAATGAAAATATTTGAAAATGAAAATTTAATGCTTGGAATAGTAGTATAACCTTTATATAAGAAATAGTATAATTGGTACAAATATTGCAAAGTAAAATAAAAAATGAAAGTTAAAAAGTGCAAAGAAAAATAAAAATTGAAAGTGTTGGGAGTAGGTTTCGAACTTGGGATGGAGAATAGATCTCATTACCAACTAAAACCAACTGAGTAAAGTAGAACCAAATTTGCAACATTTAATATATAATCTCAACCAAGGGGGAGGCCAAGGCTAGGGGTATAAATGAGCTGATACGTTCGTAAACTACTCGCAAACAAGCTCGGTCAAAGCTTGATCAAAACTCATTTGTTAAGCTAACAAACAAGCTTGAACAAAAATTTTAAGCTCGTCAAATAAATGAACAAAGCTCGAACAACGTCATGTTCGACTCGGTAATGTTCATGAACAGCTCGTTTAAGTACATAATAAGTTTTTTTTTAATGTCCGATTAAAACTTGGACAATTTATATATCTTTTATTCATACATATTTGTAAAAAGTACTAATTATTTCATCATGTAAAGGCATGAAAACTCCGTTGGGTTAAAATGTGAAAGAAAACATTAATAACAAAGTAGGGCTCATTTATTTAGTCAAGCCCAATTTAATCCCGTTTAAACTCAAACTTAAATTCGATATGCAAATGAGTACGTTCGTGAACAAAGCTCGAATAAGCCAAATTCTTAGCGAGCCCAGCTCGAACAAGATTTTTAAAAGCTTGTTCAAGCTCGAGATATTTCGAACACGAATAATTCTTATCAACCTTAGCTCGAACAGACTGAAACTCGGCTCGACCTGGAACATTTGCAGCCCTAGCCAAGGCTACCCCAGCCCCCCCTTGGTTTCGCCACTGATATGCACCAGGGTACACCGTACACCTAACTAACCTGAGGTTAGTTTTTGCTCGTCATTTGATGATTATTTGAAAAACAATCATCAATATAAGAACAAAATACTCATGGGTGTACGGTGTACGCGAGTGTATATAACAATCTCTCGTAGGATTCTGGACCCACTGTCATCCCTAAATGAAACTCCCAAACGTGAGTAGATTTTTTTATTTTTTATTTATTTATTTTTTTAATCCATCTCAAGAATTAAAAAACATTAGAAAAAAGAAAATAAAGCAAAATAGGAAATGTAAAGTTGTAAACTAACCCTTTGTTCAAAACACAACAAAAAAACAGTTGTAAACTAACAGCATGATCATCCCTCATCATAACAAGTTAACAACCCAATGGACACAATTGCAACAAGAGTATCACTCTTCTCCTATCTCTCTTCTTCACCTCTTTCTCTTCCCTACAAATTTCCAAGAACCCTAATTTCAATTTCAATTCCAATTCCAATTTCACTAACTAACTCATCCAAACAAAGAAGAAATTACACATTTCCATCAATTTCAAAATTGGGTAGTTCCCAGAAAAAACAACACTGAAATCTTTGACGAAGCGGCATTCGAAGCAAATCGCCTCACCCTTGATGCTAAAGCTCGAGAATCAATGGCGGAAGCCTCTGAAAAAGAGATGAATGAGAGTGAAGATGATGACCCTAAAGCTTGGAAATGGAGAATTAGGAAAAGGGTTTGGGATTTAATGGAAGCTCAGAATATTGCTCAATTTCCTCGACCTGTTCATCATCGTATTCCCAATTTTGTTGGTGCTCCACTTGCTGCTAACAAGGTATTCCATCAATTTTATACCCTTAAAATGTTGTTTATCTTATGATATTTGTGATGAATTTTTATGGGGTTTGAATGAATTTTTGGCAGTTGGGTGAATTGGATGTGTTTCTGGGGGCGAATTGTGTGAAGGTTAACCCGGATTCTCCACAGAAACAAGTCAGAGTCTTGAGGCTTTCTGGTTGGTGGTTGTTTTTAATTCACTGTTTTGTTTGGTGTTCGGTAGGTCTTGTATATAACGGGTGTATTGTATGCAACATATATAGTAAGGAGTAACTGAAATCGTGTAAAAGTCTATTATTTGTCAAAATGATTACTATGTGATTTGTGGTTTGCGGGTGACTAAACTTCTTGTATATAAAATACACCTGGTGTTACAAGCTTTTGCCGTTGTTGGTAGTTTGGGTTGCATTAGCTCCTCCTATTACTATGGTATTGAGATGACCGTTGCATTAGCTCATTTTTAGTCGTTGCTTATGTTGATTTGTTGAGTAGTGAAGGATTTGAAGATTTGAGGGTATCAAAAACTTGCTGGGAATTGCTGTTTGAAATTTACCTATGTTTTGTTGATAATTGCTTGACCTTCAAGGTTTCAGGCAATATATATTATGTAATCACACAAAGTAAAATTTGATGGATATTTTGCTTCGTCCCCACATTGTGAAAAAAATCTTTGAATGATTATATGCTGTGAATTAATTGGTTAATCTTTGCTTTACAGATAGAGTTCCAAAGGAGAGAGCTTCTGTGCAACTATAGTTTATGGGGGTTAGGTTTTGTATATCTGCCCCCTCTTATTTTAATTTAGGGCTCTAGGCTTGTGAGCTGTTTAACCAAAAAGAGGAAGCTTAGAACTCTTATACTGAGTGGTGAATAGTTGAATTTTCTTAATAGTGCAAATCTGTGAAATATATCTTACATTTCAGGGAACAATAGATTTATTTTCTATAAAGTGGTTTGAAATATGAAGTTCTGAACCATATTAGAAGGCAAGTGCAGCTCTTAATAATAGATGGCCATCCCCGAATTTTGTGTTTGCTGTAGACCAATGTTAAATAATGTTTCAAATCTTGATAGAGTTGACACTACAGAAGTAATATGGAAATCCATCATGTTCAAAATTAAAATTGAGAACGTCTTGTTTTTATAGCAGTCCATAAAGATCTTCACGTGCTTGTATGGTTAAGGGGAAGTTTTTAGTGTGTTTATGGATACCATTTCTGTTGAGCTGCTTAGCTTATATTTTGGTCTTCTACTATTTTCTGTTCACTCAATTTCTTGAGGCTGTTGTGTTGATGCAGAGGGGAAGAAACTGCTGACTCCCCAGCCACGTTTGAGAACCGGGTTCTTTTCTGTTCTCGAGTCTGAAATGCTGACTTCGAGCAATATAAATGAGGCGTGCACCTCTGTAGGTGTAGCAAAATATGGAAGGCCAATTGGTCTTGATGAAAAGATCAAAGTAGACTTAATTGTCATTGGTTCAGTTGCTGTTGATCCGAACACTGGAGCCCGGCTTGGGAAGGGTGAGGTAGTTTCCAATTGCTATGATGTTTATATTCTGTTTCCATCTCATGTATGTTATATTTGGAAATTTTTTCGTAGCAATGGGTTGCTTCTATTTATTATTTTCTTTTATAGTGATTTAGAGGCCTTCTATGATCAATTGACCATTGCATGAGCGTAATAAGCGGCACATTCATTTCACTCAGGATGAAAAATCTGATAGTCTTGATCAGTGATTGTTGAGCTGCTATGAATTAATATCCTTTTTTGGCATTTTGCTGTTCCAGTTTCTGTCTCTTTAAAAAAGGCTTTAATAAATTAGGCTATCGATTGGCATTCTTTATTTTTAATGGTGTAACTGTGCTCTTAGTCTTGTCAGCTTTCCTATATTAGCTGTTTGGAGATTAAGATTCTACATTAGCTGTTCCTGTGCTGTATAATTGAAGTAACTTTACTTATTTAACAAACAATTTGTAACCCATTATTTGTATTGCCGGAGCAATGCGTTTGTCTTGGTCTGTTAAAATGCAGCCATTTCTTGTTAGCTTTTTTTTTTTCTTTTCTTTTTTTTAAGAATGGTTTTCAAATCCCAATTGTATTCTCAAAATTGTCTTTGAAGATGCCATAAATTAGTAATGATTCTGCTCCTTTTGGATTGTATAGATTAGCTTATTTAATGTTCTCTGAATCTGGTAGGGTTATAGAGAAACTTCATTTCTTGAGCCAGATTGTTCTTCTAGTTGTTTTGACTGAATTAGAATTTCTCTTTCTTTTTTCATTTGGTAGTAAGAGAGAAAATTTTATTCAATCATAAACAAAAGTACATTAATGTACTGTAAAGCAGAGACAACCCTTCTAGGAAGGATCCCTTCCACTAAAAATACCCAACCAAAATAGGCATCAGCTTTATAGAACCAGTACCAATTACAAAGAATATATCCTATAATGCAAAGCAAGCTATAGAACTGTAGTCACAAAAATTATAGGTCATCCAGCCAAATCCTATCAGCACTCAGCAGATGAAACATTTCCCCCATGATCCCTTTTATTCTACTTCTTATAGCTCTCTGAATTTCCATTATTGCCGAGGCCACAGTAGGTATTTTTCCTTTCCAAAGAGCTTCATTACTTGTTATCCACACTTTATGTACAATTCCTGCCACTGCTGCTGCTTCTAATTCTTCCTGAAACTAGATATATTAGCTCTCCTGCCAATCCACCCAAGTAGCAGATACAACTATATGTAGGCCAGGTTTTAGCTCTCCTTCCAGTTCACCTGGTTTCTTTATATTTCTCAATCTGTGCTAGTTTTATCCGTCCAGGCCTTAATTCTTTTGTTATACTGCATGTGTAAAATATTATACCATTTTTTTTTTCCTAATTTTTTAAAATACCTTTAGATATATGAAGTACTATTTGAATACTGCATGTGTAATTACTCTTCACGCTATTTAATTACCTAATATGTAGTAAAAAGCATAAAACTTGAGAAAATCCCAATAACATTTTACATGATACTACGTATCATTTGTTTTTATAGTAGAAACTATTGGTCAAAGGCTATGTAAATATGGTAGAACAAAAAATGAATAAATAACTAGATGATGAGTAAAATCCCAATAACATTTTACATGATATCATTTGTATTGACCATATCATTTGAATGAAAACTTTATAGTAATTCATCCTGAAGCCTTTGTAAAATCCATCTTTTTTGTTCCTCCACATTTATTTTCCCATTAATTTTCGTCATCTTTCAATGTTTTTTTCCTTCTTCTATGCTTCATAAAATTCTTTTTTTATTCTATATTTAACAACTATAATCAGCCCGAATCCGGCCCATTGAACATGTTTAGGCCTGTACCACATCTTTGGATAGATTATGTATCCCACCTTCCATTTGAGATGTCCCTTCTAATGATCCTTAGCCATCAATAAACTGAAATTTCTTGACCACTTGATTTATAATGCCTTTCATTTGCTTCTAGCAGAAAAAAAGATAACCGTACATTTTGGTTATCATAAAGCGGTAGTTATACTTCCAGCAGCACATTACTCTGAGCCCTTTTAAAATTATGCATTTCATTGATCTAAAACAAAATTTACATGCATGAAAAGAGTGGCATATATTAATGCCATCCATATTTCTCTTACTGGTCTGATCTTATAATACATGGACTGTGGAAAAGCCTGTCTTGCTTTTATTTCATATCTCTGCAAGGTCTTTTGATGATTCAATGTTTGTGAAGGCTAGCTTTTAATGTCCAAAGTTTTACTGTAAATTCGTTGATAGGGATTTGCTGAACTTGAATATGGAATGCTGCGTTACATGGGGGCGATTGATGACTCTACCCCTGTCATCACTACAGGTATTTCTGATGTTCTTTAGTTTCTTTTTTTTTTTTTTTTTTTTTTTTTTTTTTTTTTTTTATCACAAATGCCTCATTTTTATTGTATAGTTTTTCTACAGGGACTGAAAATGTGTTGACAAGACTTGACATTTTAGATCTTTAAACCTCACCCATTTTGATAAATACGGAGTAATTTGTCAAGATATGTATTGGGTTATGACATAAAAATATCATTATTAGATTTACCTTTAGATAACTTTTATCATTAATATAGCTTTAAAAGTGATATAAATCAGCGAATGATAGAATGGCATGATCAAAGTTGACAGGTTTACCACAAACTTCTAGTTTTGCCTATTAGAATATTTAACTGAAATGAAGATTTTATTTTCACACCTCTAAATTGCAGTTGTCGGTAATGATTCTTTGTTTAAGAATTCCTTTTAAACTTGGCTAAATATACTTCCCCAGTTTTCAATATAGGTGTTTCTTCTTTTAATTTTGACTAAATATAGCATGTATGGGATCCTCAGATCTGTTGATGAGTATTATATGACGACGTGCCAAAGATTATATGTGCCACTTCATGTAAATTTCTCTCTTTTAACAGTGATATGGGAATTGAATCTGTAATTTCATTTCAGTAATTCAGTGATTATTACAGTGCTGTTTTTGTTTAGCTAAAGTAGTTTATGATATTGCAGTGCATGATCAACAACTGGTAGATGATATTCCGGTTGAAAAGCTATTAATCCATGATGTACCTGTCGACATCATTTGCACCCCAACACAGGTTATATTTACCAATACGAATATACCTAAACCACAAGGTTAGTGATGAATTAGTTTATCTTCCTAAAACCTTGCATTACTTCCAGTTGCATTTTTAAACCACAAGGTTGTTGATTCTTCTGCAGGGATTTACTGGGAGAAACTGTCTCCTGAAAAATTGGGACAAATACGAGTTCTGCGAGAGCTCAAGAAGAGGATCGAGAAAGAAACTGGGCAAAAGCTTCCGAGTGGTCCATCTGAGAAGCTGCCTCCCACTGCACAGCGAAAGCGTCAATGATTTTGTTTCCTTTTCTGTTCTTTTTACTTTTGTATATCTGTGTTACATATGTAATTACTCTGAACCCTTGCAGAAGCGCTTATGGTTCCAACAAGACCATAAATTGTAAATACATAAACGTAATTAATCTCATCTGAGATGGTCTTATTACTGGTTACTTTATTTATTTATTTATTTATTTTAAAAAAAAAGCTGTAAACAAGTTATTTTGATGACCTTATCATAAAAAAAAAAAAAAAAAAAAAAAAATGAAGAGTAAAGAATATCCATCCAGGACATGTACTATAGCATGAACATTGTGTGTACATAGCATCTTTGCCCATGAAAACACACACACACACACAAAAGTTCATTGAACACTCTCAATTACACAAAAGTTATTAAAAAGTTGAGTTGGTTGGATTAATATCAAGTAAGTGTCAATAGTATTCAAGTTGGATGGTTTCAAGTTTGATTTGATCAAGTATGTTTAATTTTTGGTCCCAACAAGTTAGATTACAAGTAAAGCGAATCAATATTAGACAATTTAACGGTTTAGGGTATAAACTAGCCAATTTATAGGTGAAAAACTTGAAATATGTTACTAGCATATAAATTCACACTTAAATGTAATTACACAAAGTATTGTTACATGAAAATTTTTAATTTTTTAAAAACGGCGATGTAAATAAAGACTAGTCATTATATCTTTAACTAAAATAATTCAAATAAATGATTGCTGATATGTGCTTTATAATAATAATAACAATTATCAGATAATTGTTAAAGCAAAAGCTGGAATAATTGTTCGAACCCTCCTTCTAGCGCTTTTTTTCATGCATTTTTTGGTTTTACTGTAACAACTTACAACTGAGATGCAATGGACTATATGCGAACAAAACGTTGTGACTTGTGAGTGGAGGTCTTACACTCTTGAAGCAATGCAACCTCCATCTCCTACCGTCTTCGGCTCGGTGTTTCTTAGTTCCTTCCATCCATATTTCTCTAATCTTAAGCCATGTAGACCACTTGAAGTGAAACTGACATGTATGATCGACATAACCATGAAATAATGAATGTATGTGCTTAATATTGGTGATAAATGTTGAATGTTGAAATGTTGATTGATTGATAATTTTCCAACCTATATGTTTTGAAGTTAAACTAAATGACTCATCAACTCGACTCCTACTTATTATATAGCTTAGAATTCCCATAAATAGTCTCATAATTATCACTGTATTTTCATATAAAGAAAACTTACACTTTTTGGATCTTGGTTGGAATCGAGATCAAGAAAATGAATATTATAGAGAACAATTTCACCATTAGAGCTTTTTCCCTTAAACTTAAATTCCCAATTCAACTTCCTTCTAGTTGAGCGTTTTTCCCTTGAACTGCCCGCTTCTACAAACTGCATATAAGAAAATACAAAAATTGTGAATAATCCAATTTATAAGATAAAACTAAGTACAAACTTAAGGGTCTGTTTGGCATCGCTGTGGTTTTCAGTTTTTCAAAATCATACGAATATATCATATAATGAATTAAAAAAATTAGTCTAACTTATTAAAATCATGATAATTTTGAAAACTGACAACAAGAAAGTGAAAACACCTTTTTCTTGTTTCCTGTTTTTGGTTTTTTGTTTTCATAAAAACTGAAAAAAAAAAATTAAAATGATGCCAAACAAGCCAAATTACTTCCTTTATTTTTTTAGATGTATCACTTTTGGAATTGCGGACTCCTTAGTACAATAATAGAAAATAAGAGGATCATGTGATAGATAGATGAGAGAAAAAAAATTAAGAGGGTCATGTGATAGATAGATGAGAGAAAAAAAATTAAAAGGGTCATGTGATAGGAGAGTAATAGAGAAAATTTATTTGATTAAAAGGAAAAGTGATCGATGCATCTAAAATAATACTTTCATTTCTAAAAAGTGACACATTTAATATTAAACGGAGGAAGTTATAGAATTTGTTTTATTTATTTATTTTTTGACAAAGAGGAAGCTCGTAATAGACATAATCATATTAAGATGAGCTTACATTATCAAGTGGGTTTGCACCTTTCTCTGGCCTCTTCGGGTGGTAGCCGAGGTGAATGAAGTAATTGACTTCATTAAGAGATCTAAGTTGTAGGTTGGACAATAGATGTATATAAAACTACAAAGGAAGATACAACTAATTAGTCATATAAACTAGCTAGGGTATAATATGTAAATATCTTTACAACAAAGTAAGAAATTTTTTCATACCTTATCAATTCTTTTGTTGTCGTTTCGAACGGACATTATTATCATCCAATTTTGCAAGCGTTCATCAAGTTATTGTTATATTACTTCGCTATTTACTTAGATATTTGTCAAGCGGGAGCGACTAATTCTTCTAGTCTTGTTAATGAAATAACTCTTGCCTATAACTAGTGAAGGTTGCAACTTACTTGTGATTTTATATAAAATACAAGGATGCATTTAATTATCCTTAGATGGTATTAATTTTAATTTTACACTAGAATCATTTTGCCAATCCTTTTGTCCAAATATTTCTACTATTCAATTATTTATCTCCCACCCTCCCCCATTCTTAACTTCACAAAAAATTTCATCCTTTTGCTCAATTCTTATACAACATTTTTGTATATCTTAAAAAGTATGGAAAAACTTAATGTAAACTCACCATTGATTGGAGTTACCCTTTCTGAAGTAGAAGATCCACACTTTTCGTCTATTGCTGAATTGGTATGGAATTTTAATTCTCTTTTTCAATTTCTTATTAGTAAAACAATGTTCATTCATTCTTTGTATATATTAGAATTGAAATGAAAGATGGTTTAATTTAGTGTAACAATTTGTTTTATTGGTTGATTGTTTATTCTTTTTATTTCATATTAATTTTATATCTCAAATTGTTGATTTGTGTTGGTGATGTTTTTGAAGGCAGTGTTTGGTTTATTTAACACAAAGAATTTTTATCCTTTTTTTTTTTTTTTTTTTTAATATTATCAACTTCATTCTATTGTGTTTACTGTCATGAATTTTTTTTGCTATCACATGATTGATGAATAGATCTGGTTTTCTATCAGTTTTTTAATTTTTTTTGTAACATTTTATGTCACAATTTTTTTGCTATTGCTTATTAAATGAATCGAATTAAGTTTACTATGAGGTTAGTGATAGATCAACAAATCAATCCGATTACATTTTTACGTACCAACTTTTTTTGTAATGTTTTATATATATATCACGATTAATCAGCTATTTCGTATATAATTAATATTATACTTTCTTTCAGAGTTATATAGATTAATGAATAAACCATATTATTTCTCTCTCACCTTTATTTGTAACATTTTTTGGTCACGATTTATCTACTATCTTTTGTTAAACTAGTCAAAGTTCACTGGTTTTTTTTTATTTATTTTTTTATTTTTATATTGAGCCGTTAGATTGATGAATCTATCCAATTATTTTTTGATCTAACATAATGTGTGTAGTTTGAAGTTTTGATACTTTTAATTTAAAGTTCTTTTCGACTTACTAGACAGTTAGATCAAACAACATGTATGATGACCATAACAACATACATGTTGTTTCACCAAACAGACCGTTACACTTATAGATTGAAATGCAAAGCAAGTGATGTTTTTTTTCCTGTCTAAAGCCAACAATTATGCGATCGTGTTAAAGTGTGGATCAACACTTAATTATACTTTCATCATCTATCCCTTTTCGTTTATACAATTTACATTATTTTTATGAATTCAGATGTTAAAAATCATTAAAATTAATTACTTTTGTAAAATTTGAAAAATCATTAAATAACCATTACTTTACCATTAATTAATAAGTGAGTTGTCAATTTTATTTTATTTTTTATTTTCAAAAAACGTCAATGTAAAGCTGTAATAACTCAATACTCAATTATACTTTAGCTTGTCACTTTTTTTTTTGTCAGTTGTTTAGTTTTTTTTTTTTTTTTTACAAGAAAAATTATTCCAGATGTTAAAATTCAATTAAATAACTGTGTGATTACTCCAAAACTTCACAATAATAATAATAATAATAATAATAATAATAATAATAATAATACTTTTTTTTTTGTCAGTTATTTAGTTTTTTTTTTACAAGAAAAATTATTCCAGATGTTAATATTTATTTAATTAAATAAATGTGTGATTAATCCAAATCAATAATAATAATAATAATAATAATAATAATAATAATAATAATAATAATCAAGTAAATTCACGATCTTAACAAACATATAAAGTCAAATTATTATTTGAAAATAATCCTGTATAGATATATAGTTAGTCTCGTTAAAATTATTGTCGTTACATTTATGGACATGTCTCAAGACACTTACCCTAGAACATTATTAACGGAATTAACGGTAAGTGTCTTAAGGATATGTCGATAAATGTAACGACAATAATTTCAACGAGACTAACTTTATCTATGTAAGATTTTTTTCAAACAATTTGACTTTATATGTTTGTTAAGATCGTTAATTAAATTGATTTTACTATTATGAAGTATATATGTTATTATTACTATGAAGTTTTGGAGTAATCACACAGTTATTTGGATTACAACATCTGGATTAATTTTTCTTTAAAAAAGAACTAAAAACTGACAAAAAAAAAAAAAAAAAGCTTAAATGAATATTTATTTATTTTTTTATAGATTTTATTACTCCTTTTATTATTTTTCTTGGCTGTCATGAAATAATCTTTTGCTGAATTACTGATTTGTTTCCATAATTAGCTTTGTATCTGATATCGATTATGTTCATACATGCATTTTACATACTTCGTATTGTTTTATACTGTTACATTCATTTAATAATTTTTTTTTTAAATTTCTGAATGACACCCTTTTTTTTTTTTTTTTTTAATTTAACAGTACACATCAACGGCTGCATTTGATGAAGAATACGCATCAATGGCTGCATTTGATGAAGAAGATTATGAAAAATTGCTGAGTTTTCCGCCCTCTATTTGTACCTCACCCAACAAAGTAGAAGCTTCTAGGGTAAGTATATATCCATTTAAATAATTAATTAGTGTTATTAATTCTAAATTAATTTTTAAGGATATTATTAAAAGAAAAGAAACCCTATTACAGGATAACTTCACCCAAATAGATGGTAATGCCCTAACTACGGCGCTATTGGCAATCGGAGCAACCACGGAGCAAACTGAAGTGGTAATACTTTTAAACTTACAATGTTTAAGCTTTGTACAAACTACAAAGTATGAAGTAC